GTGGCTTGTGTAGAACCAGCCCGTACGTTTTCTTGCCAACGTGACGTCACACTTCGGTACTCTATACCCTTAACGGCGCAGTGGCATAATCGCTAAAACATCCTTCTCCTACACCGGGATTCCGAGTTCGAGTCCCAGCTCTTCTTTAGTATGTATTATTTTTAATTTCTTACTTTTTTATTTTTATTTTTTATTTTTAATGTGTTTTATCTTTTGATTTATTGTTTTTTTACTGTTTGGGATGGCATGCGATGGCATGGGATGGGATGGGATGTGGTGCGATGGGATGGGATGGGGCATGGCATGGCATGGCATGGCATGGCATGGCATGGCATGGTATGGTATGGCATGTCATGGCATGGGATATGGAATGGGATGCGGTGCGATGGGATGGGATGGAATGGGATGGAGGGATGGATGCATGGATAGCGGGATATCCGGCGTTGCCCGGGGAAATCAGTGGCGTTACTCAGTTGGTTAAAAGGAAAATACCCAAAAAAATCTAATTATCTATCTAGTATGCAGTAAATCGAATGTTATATGTGATAAATCGAATGTTATATGTGATAAAATCAACCATAAAACAAAAGTCGAATTATGAAAAAAAAACATGCCATAAAGGAGCTTATATTTATATATATATATAATATATATGTATATATATATATCCATTGTTCGAAAATATGTAAACCTGTGGAGAATAACGGGAGATGGAAATTACAGGATAGTACATTAAAAAAATGCAGTACAATCGGGATAAATGGGTAGTTCCTTAAAACCTATGTTGGGGTAATGTATCTAACCAAGCAATATCTTATTTGAAAATACTGTATACATATAACACGACATTTTGAGTTGGTAGGGGGATAACAGAACTCTGCACTTAACAGAGAAACTGCAGGAAGTAAAGTCATTCAACAAATTTTGTGAATTGACGTTTGTATTTCTTCTTTATGCTGCTAAATTGCACCGCGGTTCCACATTCTGAAAGACGCTAACTTTTTACGTATTTCCATAGATATCGACTAGAAGATTTGTATTCTATATCTATGGTATTTCTGAGCGATAGGCTGGACAGCTGCCATTGTCACGACATCATAGGCTGCAGACGCAAAAACTTGCTGCTACATGGATCTTGACTTCTGTCAGTTGACTGCTTAGTTAGCTGTAGTAATCGTATAAATACGCATTGTCAACAAGTGAAACGCACGCGTCTCGTCTGCACGGCACCCGCCAAACGTCATTCGGTCTGCTCTCGCGATTACGACCACACTTTGCGAGCGCCATTATTATTATTATTACAGACTAGCGGAGACTAATGTATCCGTTCCACTCTCACCACGCCTGTATGTGTCCACTCTCGCACGAACACGATGTTCGTGACGTCACGGCATCCGAAGCGAAAATCAAACAGATACCGATTCGCTCCAGTATTTCTCTATTCACGGTACTGTGCAGGCACATTAGGTGTTGGTCACGTGACGTAAATAGGTGTGGGACTGAAGGCGGCTATCTTATAATCGATATATTGACTTTGAATGAGTAATGGCATAAACAATCCGCCCACGCGAAGAGCATACTGGGGGTGACAGAAACAGGTGACTGAATCAGTAATAATGTCGGTTTAATCGTTTTGAGTAAGCTTGCTTATCGGAGCTTACTGAAGACACCGCCGTGAGCTGTGCTGCTCGTTCACACGCGCTCGCGCGCCCGCGCACACCCACACACGGGCGCCCGCGCACCGCCGCGCACACACCCACACACGGGCGCCCGCGCACACACCCATGCACACACGGGCGCCCGCGCACCGCCGCTTACACACCCACACACGCGCGCGCACACACACCCTCACACGGGCGCGCGCACACACACCCACACACGGGCACGCGCACACACCCACACACGGGCGCGCGCACACACCCACACACGGGCGCGCGCACACCCACACACGGGCACCGCGCACACACACACACACGGACGCGCGCACACACCACACACGGGCGCCCGCGCACACACCCATGCACACACGGGCGCCCGCGCACACACCCATGCACACACGGGCGCCCGCGCACA